TACACTTGAAACTAACATGATGTTGTAAGTCAACTATACCTCAAGAAATGAAATAAAATAAAAAATAAAGCAAGAAAAAACTTATTGAGGGCCTTCTATTGTCTACAGTTTGCTATTAAGAACTATTAGTTACATAAAAATACCTAATACAGTCCCTGACCTTGGAGGATTTAAAGCCCAGTTAAAAAAGAAAACACACATGTGAAAAATTAAATAATAACATGAATTAACAAACTAAGAGGAACTAAAGAGTCTCTTGATGAAGGTGAAAGAAAAGTGAAAAAAGCTGGCTTAATACTCAACATTCAAAAAACCAAGATCATGGGATCCCGTCCCATCACTTCATGGCAAATAGACAGGGAAAAAATGAAAAAGGTGACAGATTTTATTTTCTTTGGCTCCAAAATCACTGGGGGCAGTGACTGTGACTAAAGTCATGAAATTAAAAGATGCTTGCTCCTTGGAAGAAAAGGTATGACAAACCTAGACAGTGTATTAAAAGGCTTTGCCGACAAAGGTACATCTAGTCAAAGCTATGTTTTTTTCCACTAGTCATATACAGATGTGAGAGCTGGACCATAAAGAAAGCTGAGCACTAAAGAATTGATGTTTTCAAACTGTGGTGCTGGAGAACACTATTGAGAGTCACTTGGACAGCAAGGAGATCAAACCAGTCAATCCTAAAGGAAGTCAGTCCTGAATATTCACTGGAAGGACTGATACTGAAGTTGAAGCTCCAATTCTTGGGCCACCTGATGTGAAGAGACGACTCACTGGAAACGACCCTGACATTGGGAAAGACTGAGGGCAGGAGGAGGAGGAGGAGAAAGAGGATAAGATGGTCGGATAGCATCATTGACTCAATGGACATGAGTTTGAGCAAACTCCAGGAAATAGTGAAGCACCGGGAAGCCTGGCGTGCTGCAGTCCATGGGGTTGCAAAGAGTCAGACATGTCTGAGCAACTGAACAACAATAAAAACAATGAATTAACTAGTGATATGGAAACCTCATACAAAGTTCACTACAAAAGCATGTAAGTGTGGTTGAAGTTTAATTTCCTAAAAGTAATTTTCCCTACCTTAAAAAATAAAAGCTTTAATTTTGGGGGTTAGTCAGAAAAGACAGAATCAAAGTATATTTATGTTTCAAATGCCATAGGATTTTGTGGGTGTTTTTTTTTGTGTGTGTGTGTAATGTTTAAACTAACATTGAACACTAGAAATCTTCTTCAAGTATTGCTGGCCACATACTAATTACAGATACTGATCCTTACATATAGCTCTACTCAACATGTAATAAATACCACAGTAAGAAACAAAGGTAAGAAATTGTAAGACTTTAGCTCAGAAAACTTCAAATGAATTGTTTGGTAGTTCATGTTTAATCTTCAGTTTCCCTATACTCTCTCACAAGCTAATTAGGAAAAGAGATCAATAAAAACATCTTGCCCACACAGGAGGCAGCTACTCTATGTGACATTCAACATAATCATTGCTTACAATAAGCATAGACTTAAACATTTACTAAGAAAGTTAAAAGGTGCAAAGTGCATCATCAAAATTTTATTAGGAAATACAAGTGAGGGTGTGTATACTTCTTTGTAATCAGTAAAAATTACTTATTACCAAATTGTATTTTTTTACCAAATGCTAATAAAATATTGTTTGGAGCTGACATACATTATTTCTAACAGAATACAATTTGATATCCCAGGAACAGTGATGCCACAAGCCATCAAATATCATTTTAAAACAGATTAAATTAAAAACTGTATCTATTTGGAAATAGGCAGTTCTGCACAGCTGGCACAGATTTACTTTGTGTTTTTTCAAAAAACGTAATTCTTGTTTTAAATGAAGAGCTTGTGAATGACAAGAATTTAAGTTATAAATGCCAACATGAGTAAGACAAAGTGTGCCAAAAGAGAGTCAGAGGTTACTATTAAACTAAAGAAATAGACAACATTGTACAACAGATACAATGTTGGCACTCCATATCCCTGGATTTTGCTTCCAAGGTGGGTTGAATCTCTGGATGCACAAACCATAGATATAGAGGGTCCACTCTACCATGCTGTTTAATATAAGTGACTTGAGAACATGTGGAAGGTCCTAGAATAACTCCTCCCCCAGTCTCCTAGGATGCAGAATTCAAAGGATATTTTCTGTGATTCCTGTGTAATATAAGTCCTTGAACCAACTCTGGAGGAATCATGAAGAAATAAGAATTTGCCCTTTTCCAATCTAATATAATAGAAAAAGCAAGAATTTAAATCAAATACAAGTAAATAGTAAAATATAGTCAACATTATAACAGAGTTGGGCTTACCAGGTGGCATTAATGGTAAAGAACCCACCTGCCAATGCAGGAGATGCAAGAAACGTTAAGTTCAATCCTTGGGTCAGAAAGATTCCCTGGGGAAGGGCATGGCAATCCACTCCAGTATTCTTGCCAAGAGAATCACATGGACAGAAGAGCTTGGCTGGTTATGGTCCATAGACTCTCAAAGAGTAAGACATGACTGAAGTGACTTAGTACACACGCAGAACAGAGTTATAAGCAAAATGTGACAATACACATCACTTCTGTTGCTGATATCTCAGAAAGCTTTATAAAAGATTTTTAGTTAAGAATGGCAGCTTGAAGAATGAGTAAGAACTTAACAATTGAATTTGAGAGAATAAGCATTCCAAGCTAAGGGAAAAGCATGGAGAAAGAGAAAAAGTCAGGGAATGTTTAGGGAACTGTGGGACGTGCTGCCAATTTGTGACCATCAGGAGGCAGAGGTAATGGGAGACAAGAGAGAAGTTGATAAACCGCAAGATTTGGAAGCGCCCTCAAGCCCACTCCGAAAAGCTGGCCTTTAGAAGAAAGTCTTAGGCTATCCAAGCTTTGAGCAATCACACTTTGTGCCTTAGGAAGATTAACTGTGAGACAGACTGGATGAGAAATAGGCTGGAGGTAAACCAGTTAGGAAGCTACTGCAAGCACTTTAGCAAGAGGTACTGGAAAGAAAGGGTTCAAGGGTGAAAAACTTTCTGAGGGAGAAAATGATGGGATTAAATGTCAACCAGCCAGGTGGATGAATCTGATGTTTGCAGCCTGAGTAACCCAGAGGACAGGCAGAGAGAATATATAATCAGTGATGTGACATACGCCCTTGACAATGAACTGTGTATTATTAAGGGAGAAGAAAAGGCAGTGGTAAATTTTGGAGTATTCAGGTTTTACAGCATCTTGCTGTCTGAGGAGAAGGCTGGCATAGAACAGTATCCAGGATGAATTCTAGCCCTGTTTCACCTGACTGCCTGTAGAATAGCTGTTTCAGAGCTTATTCCATTGGCCTACTCATCTATTCAGCAAATATTTGGGTAGTGCCTCCAGCATGTGCAGGAACTGTATGAGACAACCGGGGTGAGTCAGTGACCACGACAGAAAACCACTCTTACCTTCAAGGAACCTGCACTTCAGCAGGAACAGTCAGACAATAAATAACATACCTAAATAAATGAGGTATATCATGCATCAGAACTGAAATAAATACAATGGGATTAAAAAAGAGATAAGTAAGAAAGATGAGGAGTGATACTTGTGTGGCAGGAGTAGGGGAATAGTCTGCATTGAGAGATGTCACAGGTCACAGACTCTGAACCACAGTGCAATGTTTATCTAAGGATGCTATTGGGACACTGCTTAATAACCTTCCCTGTTTCCTCCTGATGAGCACAGGAGAGATTCAGTAAGTTTCTATAGAGTTCTGACTTCTTACCTCCCTGAGTCAGCTAACTGTTTATGTATTCCTCTTGGCACTCGTGGCTAGGTTTAGCTAAAAGCTGAATCTCTAAATCTCTGGTCTTCTTCTAAACTGTGTATGGATCCTCATAGCATTTTTTTTGTATCTGTTTTCATCTTACTTTCTGAAAATCATTTCCCCATTGTCTTCATTTCTTCACATACTTTTATCTTATTGAATTTTTTTGTTGTTGTTGCAATTTTGGCCTTTTTTGACACCAAAATGAGTGGCCTTGATTAAGGTTAAATTTGCTAAAATAATACCTTTAAATAGTATATACATAACCTCAGAGAGGTTATGTAACTGAGCAGGACTCTACGGGGTCTTTGCAGACAGACCACTGCATGTCCTGTGCCTGCCTCTTGTGTGTGTGTGTGTGTGTGTGTGTGTGTGTTAGTTGCTCAGTCGGGTCCGACTCTTTGTGACTCCATGGACTGTAACCTACCAGGTTCCTCTGTCCATGGAATTCTCCAGGCAAGAATACTGGAGTGGGTTGCCATTTCCTTCTCCAGAGGATCTTCCCAACCCAGGGATTAAACCTGGGTCTCCTGCATTGCAGGCAGACACTTTACCATTTGAGCTACTAAGGAAGCCTATGCATGCCTGCCTGTTAGTTGTAGAAAAACTTTAGCCTCTCAGGCCTTCCCCAAGTGCCAAAGCATAAATTTAATTGGAGAAGAAAATGCAGAAACAAAGTAAAACAGTCAAGCAAGACAAAATAATAATAGTTTAGCTATTAAAAAAATTCAAGGACTTTGAGTTCCTCCTCAAGAGGTAATATCGTGAGTCATAGCCTTTGAGCTACTTTGCAGATATTGAAACCCCCACCAGGTAGAACTTAACTGTATGTGCCACAAGCATCTTGACTCCAGACTGGTTGGAAGCAGAAGGTTGATGATACTGACTTCTGATTGCCTTACCATCAACCAATCAGAAGAATGTCCACAAACTGATCACATACCCAGGAATCTTCTCCCTCATCCTGTCTTTAAAAACCTTTTCCTAAAAATCACTGGAGAGTTAAGGTCTCTTGAGCACTAGCTACCTGGACTCCTTCCTTGGTGCCTTGCAATAAACATTGTACTTCCTTTCATCACAAGATGCTGTCAATTGACTGATTTTACTGTACACAGGCGGGTAGATCCAAGTTTGGTTTGATAACACATTTGCCTTCTGTACCAGTCACAGACACTTTGGGTACTTACATGAAATTCACACAGCCTGTACCAGCAGGTGGAGCAATCCAGACAAAGCTGAGGTTGGTTGTGGGCAGATGACTCACATGAGAGGCCACCACACTGCACATAAACTGGTTACCAAACTGGTGGTCAGACATGATACCTGACAAGCAGAAAGGAAAGGGTGTTGTTATAAAAACAACAAAACAAAGTCCTTCATATGATGGCATAACAATATTTTCTGGACATTTTTCTTTTTTTTTAAATATTAAAACAGCCTTTTATTGTTAATGTCACGTAAGAAATTTAAGCAAGTTACACTATCTTAAAAAACACAACTAATGCGTTTCAGGAGAAACTCTTCCCTTCCCTCTCCTCCCCCTCCCCCCATTCCCCTTGGACATTTTTCTTTTATGTTAAGATTCAACATGCTGTCTGGCTTCCCTATAAGTTGTGCGGTTTTCTATTTTCTATTGTCAGAAGGAAATTAATCATTTAAAACATTATTGTTAAGGAGCAATCTACTAAACTAATTGTTATAATATTTGCTTAATTTTGATTTTGTTGATTGGTCTTTACCCATCACCAAAGACCACCAGGACCACACCTGCAGTGAAACACGGTTGGATTTACTGGAAGTGTTTGCAGCAAGGGACACCAAACACTACTGAGAAACTGGAGGCATCTCAGTAGGAGGATGTTACCAGGAGCTTGTTAAAATATTTGGGTTTGTGTTAGATTATTTCCTGATTATAGTACTGAAAGTCTTGCATCCTGGGAAGCCCCTCAGTCTTGTTGGGGAGGTTCCAGGGAAAGGTGGTTTTGATTCCAATCTTGGTACTATTAGAAAGTAGGAGAAATTTTATCACTGAGTATCTTAATTTTTATCTATGAGACATAAGGAATAGAGAAGAGCTAAAGTTGAGGTTGATAACAGCAGCAGCAATCACATTAGCAAGGAGAGGGAATGTTGGTCATGCTTTTGGTTTGTACTGTGTCCTTGCTTTTGTCTGCATTGAGGCATGATTAAAAAGTGGTCTTGTTTTTGTCTCAAACCACATCTACTCTGTCTCAAAGTAGATAACCTATGAAACTGCTCATTTTCAACACAAGAGCATCATGGCATAGTTGAGTACCAGGTCAGCTCCCAGCTGAATTATCAGGAGATGCTTTTTCTCCTTTGTAATAAGATGATCTTTTCATGTTTACCTATTAATAAAATATTAATAGGCAACTCAACACTAAGAAAATGAATTTGATTTTTAAAAACAGGCAAAAAAGTTATACAGATGGCAAGTAGGCATATGAAAAGATGTTCAATATTGTATGTCATTAGAGAACTACAAATTAAAACAATGAAATGCCACTACACACCTAATATTTGACCAAAGTCCAAAATAATGACAGTCCTAAATGCTAGTGAGGATATGGAGCTACAGGAATTCTTATTCATTGCCAGTGAGAATACAAAATGGTATAGCTACTTTGGAAGATAGTTTGGCATTTTCTTACAAAAATAGACATACTCTAACCATATAATCCAGAAATCACACTCCTTGGTATTCACTCAAATACACTGGAAATTTATGTCCACTCAGAAACCAGCACATGGATGTATATAGCAGTTTTATTCATAACTGTCAAAACTTGGAAGCAACCAAGACATCCTTTAGTAAGTGAATGGGTAAATAAAGTGTGGTACATCCAAACAGTGGAATATTATTCAGAGATGAAAGGAAATGAGCTATCAAGCCATGAAAAAACATGAATAAGTGTTGTGCTGTCCTGTGCTGTGCTAAGTCACTTCAGTTGTGCCCAACTCTTTGCAACCATATGGACTATAGCCCGCCAGGCTCCTCTATCCATGGGATTCTCCAGGCAAGAATTACTGAAGGGCGTTGCCATGCCCTTCTTTAATAAATAAGTACATATTATTAAATGAAAGAAGCCAATATGAAAGAACTGCATGCTGTATGATTCCAACCATGTGACATTTTGGAAAAGGCAAAATTATAGACAGTGGTTGCTAGGGGTTGGGAGAGAAGAAGTGAGATATAAATAAGCAGAGCACAGAGGAATTTAGGCCGGTGAAACTATTCCATATAACAATACAATGGTGAATACATGACACCAAAAATGAAACCTAGTGTAAAGTATGGACTTTGAGTGACAATGATGGGTCAGTGCAGGTTGATCTGTTATAACAAAGAAACCACTGTGGTGCAAGATACCCAGAAGGTTGGAGGAGGGTGGTGTATGGAAAATCTATGTACCTTTTACTCAATTCTCCTGTGACCTAAAACTGCTCTAAAAATAAAGTGTATTAATAAAAAAAAAAACATTGCCATGAGTGGACAGTTAAAAATTTAATAATTTGGCTTTGTGAACTTGGGTAAATGGCTTCTCTCTGAGATAGTTTTCTAGTCTATAAAATGAAAACACCATGTTCACTCCATCCTAAAGTTATTTGGAGAATTAAATTACCCAATACATATGGTAGCATCTGGTACAGTATTTCCATGTTTGAATAGGTGCCCTACCTACATGCCATCACAACAGTTCATACATCACTCCATCATACTCTTGACTACCTCTACAGAGAGTCTATGAGGGACCATGTCTTTAATCTTTGTATTTCAAGCAACTATCACAATATATGACACACTGCAGATACTCAAGAAATATTTTCTAAATAAATATAAAACAAATAACTATAAAAATAAAAGACAATATAAATTATACACATGTTATATCAACTAATGAAACAGAATCTTCTAGAATAGCAAGAATAGGTCATACTGGCCAAAGAAATAGAAGAACAGTATATATTTTGACACATCCTAATAATGCTCTTTTTTCTCATTCAATGTAAATTTATATATAAATGTAAATACATAAATGTAAATTTATATATAAATTTAAGCTGTATCTTGCAACAAAAGAATGAAAGTCACCAAGTCAGAGAAACCACAAGATTAGAGAAGATGACAGACTTCCAGGGAAATCATAGTGTGCCGAAGGAGACTCAGTAGCTGTGACTAAGGAACTGCCATGCCTCTCTGGTCAGGCATAAAGCAGGGATCCAGTGTGTGGAAAATGACACATCTGCAGGAGTCAGCCTGGCCAGAAAGGAAAAGCAAAAGTTACAGCCGCAATTATGTGGGAAGGGAAATGAATCAAACAAAATAAGGCTTCAGGGTCTCAGAACCTTGGTAACAGAATTCATATTCAAATACCTCGTCACTCCTCAAAGCCCCTCTGAGAAAGTGAGTCAATGTCTAGACTGCATATTATGTGAAAGAATTTTATAAGACAGATATAGAATTGCGATTGCCTCACGCCCTGCTGTGGGTAAATACTCTATAGGATAACATTCTTACAATCCAACCGTTCAGCACAGCAGTTCTCCAACTTGGCTACACAGCAGCATCACCTAAAGAGATGGAATAAATACCAGTTCCCAGACATTCTGAGTGAGTCAGCAAAGAAAGCAATATTTACAAAATCCCTGTGTTGCATCAAACGTTGGGTTAGACAATATTTAGGTACACAGAAGAAATACAGGACATTGTCCCTACCTTGAAATGACTTCAGCTGAGAAGAGAAAACTGAAACAAACTAACATTCTAAGTAAAACAACTAGAAAATAAGCAAGCACTAACTGGGTGCTATTTGTGAAAAATACAAAAGAGAAGAGAAAGAGTGATTAATGTGGACAACTATAAGGACAACTAATGCTTCTTGAGCACTTACTATGGCCTGACACTATTCTAAGCACTTCATGAACTTGTTTAAGGCTTTTAACAATTCTATGCAGTAGGAGCTGTTATTTTCTCCATTTTACCCATTAGGAAAATAAGATAATGGAGGTAAAAACTCGCCTATAGTTTATATAGCAATGGCAGTACAGCCTGGATGCAAACAAGCACCCTTGCCGCACAGTCAGAAATGACTGTTAAGGTTCTATTGCAGAGCATGGGAAACTATATTCAATATCTTGTAGCAAACCATGATAGAAAAAGTAAAAAGAAATGGCTCTGTTGAAGAGGCAGGCTGGAATTGTGTTTTGAGGAAAAAGCTAAGGCTTCCCATATTTGTTTATGCACATGAGGCAGCATAGCATGAGCACAAGACTGTACCCTTAGCTCTGTCACCTGCTGCTGCCTGACCTTGGTCAGGGTGCTCCCTCTCAAGCTTCAGTTCCAACAGCTATAAACTGCTGGCCCATGATCACTAAGACTCCTTTCAGTTCCTTAGCTTTCTGAGTACAATTTAAATGAACAGAAGAAAAACAGGAGGACAGCTCACAAAGGCAGATATAACAGGCGGATGTAGGCATATAAAATGAGAACCAGGAGAAGGAGAGGAGGCAATATCAGCTTCCAGTGTTCTGTGAAACACAGTTTACTGCATCCGCCATAGTGATCTTTTTAATGGCTTTCATGCAATGGCAGCCCACTCCAGTACTCTTGCCTGGAAAATCCCATGGACGGGGGAGCCTGGTGGGCTGCAGTCCATGGGGTCGCGAAGAGTCGGACATGACTGAGCGACTTCACTTTCACTTTTCACTTTCATGCATTGGAGAAGGAAATGGCACCCCACTCCAGTGTTCTTGCCTGGAGAATCTCAAGGACGATGGAGCCTGGTGGGCTGCCGTCTATGGGGTCGCACAGAGTCGGACACGACTGAAGTGACTTAGGAGCAGCAGCGGCAGCAGCATGTCATCTAAGTAATAAATGTGATTTGGAAGCCTACTCTTGGGTAACTTTAATTTGAATTTGATAATGAATTTAAAGGTATGATGGTGTTTTCCCCTGCTGCATGCTAGATAATAGGATATATACATTGAATTTTAATATTACTTGAAGAAGAGAAAATCGGATATATGATAAAAGAATTTAATTACACTGTGAATCTCAGGGAGGTATATACACATAAAATATATATGTGTATAGTGTAGTTGCAATCAATGTTTTATTTTCATTGTTGTGGCTATGTGCAAACTTTCATACAAAATTGTTTTCTGTGGAATTCTTTTGCAAGAGAATTGTACCATGACAGAAAGAAAGCACTTCAGGAAGTATGGCTCTCTTGATCTAACTCTGGACAAAAAAGTAAAGTATATCTCTCAAACTGTGAGGCCTTATGATATTGGTAACTGTC